GCGCACTAAAGATTAAATTAAATTTGTAACTATTTAGTAACCAACTAATGTTTTTTTTTTTATAAGAAAATTATTAATTTCCAATTATGTTTAAGTGATGACCGATTTATACAGTAGAGATATTGATAGAATTCCCCGTTTAAAATACAAAATACAAATACAAATTACAATTCTTCCTCATTGTTACTTAGATCAAGGTTCAATTGATACCGTTGTGAATCGGACAAGCAACTCAAAACAGTCCCTTTAAATAACTCAAAACAGTCCCTTTAAACAACTCAAAACAATCCTTTTAAACAACTCAAAACAGTCCCTTTAAACAACTTAAAACAGTCCCTTTAAACAACTCAAAACAGTCCCTTTAAACAACTCAAAGCAGTTCCTTTAAACAACTCAAAACAGTCCCTTTAAAGTAAAGAATCCTCTGAATTGAATTCTTACTGATATCAAGTTTGTTCCTCCTAAACCCTTTAAATTTCCGGAAACAATCCCTTTAACATGAGTTGTACATAAAATGCACTTACCAATTTATTATGGCTGTGTACAGTATAGTCCCCCCTAGTTTCAGTAGCAACACCCAACTCACTTCCACTGTGAACATTTTAAATTAATCTTTAATAAAACGAAAAAAACTTGTAACGTCAAGTGTGTTTTAGANGCATTTTTTTAAACAGGCAATTTAAATATTTGAATGTGGTGTTTCATTCAAAGATTTTTGGAGCAGATTTGTGCAGAACGAACAAAAAATATTTTTTATGGTTTTTGTGATTAAAGACTTCTAATGCAGGTTTTTGGGAATTTAAAGGAAGGGACCGGCAATGTATAAGTAGTTGAACTGATATTGCACAAAATTGATATTCAAATTCATCAATTTTGGTGGGTACGTTCGAGAATTGTTTTTTCAAAATTATTAAATAACGACGAAAAAGATTTGGTAAAAATTATATAGTAAACTAATTAGATATTTAGGAACAAATTTCTCAAGATAAATTTGTTAATAAATCAATGTTAGAACCAATTATTTCGTTTTATCATTATATTGAATTTCTTATTTTAATGTAGAATTTTTGTTACATTTATTGTCGTCGTTATTTAATAATTTGAAAAAAACAATTCTCAAATCCTACCCACCCAAATTGATGATCTTGAACGTCGACTTTGCGCTCAAACTCAGTAATTTTAGACCTTTAAAACGTTTTATATGTCTCAAATGAATCCTAAAAGATTTCTCTACGATATCCGCAATCTCAGTTCAATCACTATACATTACCGGTCACTCCCTTTAAAAAAGGATTCTCTTAATAGATATTTTTATATTTCTACTGAAAGAAAGAAAGAACAATTAAAAATAATAAATCTGCTGAGAATTGAAAATTATTATAGGTCACACTGTAAAAGAAAAATACCTGGTAATATAGAAGATTGATGAAAAAATGAGACTGTAGTGGGGCAACCACATTTTTATAGGTTTTACTTGAAACCTCTGAAATAACGATCAGCTCAAAAAGTACATTTTAAACGAGTTGTAATAGGTTCATTGTCATGTTTGATTTAAACTAGTAAAGTAAGAATTCACTGGGTTTGAATATATAATTGGAAAAAAGGCGTGGCACTGGTTTAAAGAGATAAATCACAAAACCAACCAAAGATTTATTCTTCAACTATATAAAAACTTTAAAGATTTTTTTTACTGTATTGTATTTGAAAGCAATTGATAACTAATTATTTCTGGTAAAACCTCAACAATTAGTAATATCTTCATTTATTTACTTTTAAATGTTTAATTAATATATTTTACATATGTACAGTGTACACCACAATGAACACTATAACTGAGCCCGAAATTTAAAAGAGTATCGTTGAACGAAACTCCCGGGTTTCCTTTTTGGGGTCTTATTATTTGTGTAGATTTTTATTTAAGAGATTCGAAAAAATGGTAAAATATGATGAAACTAAATAAAACAATATTTCAAAACAAAAATATCGATATCCACAAAACTGGTTAAACCCATTTGTGAAACCCGGGTTACAAAACTGGTTTTCAGAACGATACCCTGTCTTAAGTTTTGGGCTCTGTAATTATTACATACATCACACTGTACACTGAACAGTACATAATGTACACATAACACTGTGTACATAATATGCTGTGTACAATGCACATCACTTTTCACCAGGTATATGCCTGCAATATGCATTCTCTCAAACTGAGGGAGAGAGAGATAATATAGGTGGTAAGGAAGGCAGTTAGATAGGTAGATAGCTGGTAGGACAGATAGATAGATACCAGGGATAGAGAGATAGATTGCGCCGGTTCGAGCGCACAATTCTATTCGCAGCAGAGTCGGCGCTTCGTAGTGAAAGGTCAGGTTCAGGAGCGCGGAATAATTTTGTGGGGTAATTTTAGGAATTTTTTTCTTAATCTATTTAGAATTTTTGGTGTTTCATACTATACTTACAAATACAAAAATAAAGAAAGAGTGTTGTATATAGTTCCTGAAAGGAATAATAATTCAGCTTGGAGTTTGTTAATAGTCAAAGAGAGTAAAATATTAAAAGTGCTCTTTAATAAAAATTCCGCCATTTTATTGTATTGTCAACCATTACACGTGTACTTTACATATTTAAACTCTAACAACCTTTTGGGCCCTGGAACAGAAAAACTGTGTTTTCTCTCAATTCTTTTTGAAGATGATAAAATAAACATACACTTTGATTAATTCCCCTCCCCTTTTAAAATCATGCAGCTTAAAAAATAAGAACTAAATTAGATTGCCAAGGGATCATACTGTGTTAAACTCCTTTTAAGGCTCAGAAAATATATACTATATTTTCTTGTCTATGTTTATATTGCTCCCAGAAGATGCAGTACACCTGTTTATTTAGAAAGAGCAAGGAATATATTTCTTGCCCAGGGACCCTTGTTTGTATAAACATTAAATTTCAAGGGACTGTTATACAGGGTGTCCCACATCATATTAGATCGAGAACGGGTCTAAATTACGATTTTCGGGACTAATTAGAACATTTCATTAGAATAAATCACTTTGAAAAATAACATAAGGCTTATATAAGAATTTTTTCTTGCGGAAAATGATAAGTTTTTCGAGTATTAATGGTTTATTTTGGTGTTAAAGATTGGAGGCAATCTAATATGATATGGGACGCTCTGTACTTAAACTGCCAAGCCCAAAATGTAAGAGACTATTATTGCACTAAATTCCTGAGTTTCCATTTTGGGGTGTAAACATTTGTGTAGATTTAAATTAAAAAAAATTACCTAACCCTCGACATGAAACTGGCTTTCATATAGTGGATTTCAAGATAATACCCTATTTAAAGTTGCGGTTCAGAGGTTGGAGTCAAAATTCACAAAAACAATGGCATTTTCTCACAAATAATTTGGAACCCAACTCTCTTGATAACTGAAGAAAAAGAGTGCTGTCATCTTCTTTATTAGTTCAGAAACTCCATTTTCTTGGGAATTCCTTCAGAAAGTTTAAGGTGTATCTATATATTATTAAAAAGACATAAACGGTAGTAAACACTTTTATACAGAAATCCCAGTTGGAAAAATCTTCATTAAATATTAATAGTGTTCATGAATAATTTTGTAAACCTACTTCAGCTCTGATTGTTCACAGAAATTAAGTTTCATATAAAAAGGCTTTTTACATTGTAATGGGGGCAAGAAATGCGGAGCTCCAAAGCTAACTGCATGCATATACAACCTCATGCAATGGAAACACAATTCTATGCTCTAGCAGACAAAAATCCAACGGATTTCAACTTCAACAGTAGGTAACACTGCAGTAAATCGGAAATGATTTTAAAAGACGATATCAAAATCCTCCCTCCATTTCCATGTTTATTGGTACACCCTGTAAATTCTCAGATATGTTGAACCTCTTAGTTATGCATTTAGGTTGGCAGCCGAGTATCCTAATTAAATCAGACCAACAGTAACTTTCTTCCCATCCTCCTTCCTCCAACTTAATAATAAAATATTTCCATTCAGAAACTCAGGGACTTTACCCCCAACTCTGATTTAAAGCAGGAAATTGAACTTATACAACTTTTTATAATATTTATAGAGATCAATTTAATGGACAAAGTTTCGCAGGAATAATAGCAGTTCTCAGAATTGCAGAATTGGAAGACAGATTTTGGCACTTTTTTGTTAGATAAAATCATTATTCTATTCTGATCTATTCTAATGTCTACTGTTTTTGTAGACAGTAACAAAATATTGGAGATTTAGTCAATATTGGTAAATGCCATATTAAATAAATTGAAACCAGAACAGAATTCTCAATATCCCAGTCAATTTTGCAAATGCAAAACAAACAGACCACATTCTGGAAATCCCAGCATTAAAGAAATCTTGAAGTAAAGCAAAGATTGAACACAACACATTATAGTGGTCATGATCATGATTATTAGTGCAAGTTACTTCACAGTTCATTGTACATAAATTTAGTTATACTTTATATTTTATTTAGAGTAAGAGTCATTGTTTCCATTTGCAAAACTTTTGAATAATTTTTGCGAAAGAATTCAAAATTTTTTGCTTTCGTTGCGCAAAAAAAAGCACTTTGCGCACTCATTCGCAAAATTCATTTCTCGCCAAATTGAGTTATTCTGCTTTTGCGTTATTTATTCTATTTTACACAATTTTGCGGAACAAATTCTCAGTGAAAGGTTGAATAAAGGTGTAATGTAAAGTGTATAAATTAGTCATCTATGAGATTTCACTTTTTTGCATATGATAGAAATGCTTAAACAGGAAAAAGGAACAGATTACTTGCATAAACTCTATTTTGAAACCTGATGCATGATGGCACACTGCACTGCAAATCAAGATGTGCACGATCTCACACAAAAGTCGAGCAGTATTTTGCCAATTACTCATTTTAAATTTAATAGTGGAACAGATCCGTAGCATTTTTTAAATGTATAAGTCTAGGCCTACAAAAAAGTATCAAAGTTGAGGCTGTATTAAAGATTGATGACTAAGTTTCACTGTTGTCTTTATCTCAGTGGGCTCAGATCTTTTATTTCAATCATTTGCATTCGACTAGAAGTAGTCAACATTTTAAAGTAAAAGTTTAACACCGAACAAAGATTCGACATCAATAAAAACTATGCATCAAATTTCAATTTTCGAATTTCTTATTTCTGTTTTATTAATTTTGTTTTTGTAATCAGTTGAGAGCAGCAGAATCATAATTTATTTGTATGTAAATTTTTAAATAAACCTTCAGTTGTTTGATTATGTGCTGAAACAGAAAATTTTGGTAAATTTGGAATATCATGTTTTGTGTAAAAATTTACGTTTCCTGCAATACTTCCAGGTCTTGCACAAATTACGCAAAAAAAAACTATGCTTCATGCACAAAAGTTTGCCAAAAAATGCTTGCAGGAAAATTATGCAAATTTTGCGCCAAAAATATGGTCATTTCGTGGAAACCCTAGTAAATGTTAACCTCTGTAAAGTACAGACTATAACTGTATTAAATTGAAAATCTAAATTTTTCCATTGATAAGAGTTAAACTTCCGACATACATAAACAAATTAATCTAGGATTTTATCAGTTTATTTATAATTTCCATCATTCATTACCTTCTGTTTTTTCTCTTCATGCATATGTATTGATGGTGTTAATGAGAATATTGTTTGCCAGGAGTCGTATCGTCAGCAAGAATAAGATTGGATTGTATATACTCTATAGACAGGATATATTGGAAATGTTTATCCAATGGAAATAAATACGGTTGTCTCAAAAATACAGAAATTTTGTTTTACCATTGGAATTGTTATTGCTGTTTTAAGTTGAAATGGGGGTTTTCCTGAAAAATTGTTACCCAGTAATGAAGGTTGAACCTGAGTAAACAGCTAAAAAATTTTGTTGGTGGTCTGGCTTAAATAAAATCGTTAGAATCATCAACAACTTGAAATAATTCTTTTTATAGAAAAAGTCTTTTATTTTATTTTTTTTTCTGAAAATTTCAAAGATTTTTTGTTTGTTGATTCTTCAAATTAGGGCCACTGCTAATTAAGACCCAACTTGTTCTTGTATACTAGCTGTAGTGCCCAGCATTGCACATGGAATTTAAAAAAAAATCTAATTTTAAACAAAATTAGCCTTTGTTATTGTTATTGGCCCAGGGTAACATTAGCCAATTTGTTAAAGCTGTTTGACTAGTTATAGCTAACAAATATATTTGTATGAGGGAAGAGCTGTATAACAAACAAAGAAACTAACAACAAAACATTTAAATCAAATAAAAATCAAAACACGGTTTTTATTCTCTCCTAAAAATCCCCCCCTTCCTTGTTTAACTTTTTGCGACCCTGTTAAAATGGGATTATCAACCCGCTGAAATTATTATGCGTCCGGTCTCTGTAGAGAATATGTTGGATAGATAGATAGATAGTTCGGGGTTTTTTGGAAATGGTTAGATAAAGAGCAGGATTTGGGGTTACTGTAAGCTACAGCTAGGCAGTCGGA